CTCCCCTAGCCCCAGCTACCCGTTCTTTAAAAAAAACCCCAAACTAAAACAACCCCCTCGTCTCACCAGCTTGTGCCAGGAGGGGTGCAATCTCCACTGTCCCCCACTTCCTCCCACTGCCCCACGCTGCATGAGAGGCTCTGCCATGAGCCTCCATCCCCCTCCTGCTCTCCCAGCTCTGAAAAAAAAAATACCCCCCACTTCCTGGCTGCTGCCAGGCGAGGGGGTGGGGGGACAATCCCTGCCCCCCCCCGCTTCCCCCCATTGCCACAAGCCCCCACCCTGTCCACACTCCCAGCCCCCCTGCCCTGCATAGCTACCCCCAGCCTCATTCCCGGCTCTTTAAAAACAAAAAAAAGCCCTGGCCTCAAGAGCTCCTGCCAGGTGGGGGGAAATCCCTGCTGCCCCCCACGCTGTGTGAGGGGCTCTGCCACAAGCCCCCAGAAGCCCCAACAGCTGCTGCAGCAGCTGGTGAGTTGGGGCTTCTTTTTTTTTAAGAGCCAGGAGCTGGGGCCAGGTGAGGCAGCCATGGGGGGGGAGGGGGCTGGGAGAGCAGGCAGGGGATGGGACCTGGCCAGGGTCCCCCCCTGGTCCCCTCCCCCCTCCTCCAGTCCCCTGTTTACCAGCACAGAGTCTGGGTCCAGCTCCCTGTGGAGGTGAGCAGGGACAGCCCAAATCTCTGAAGCTCTCTGAATTTTTCTGAATCAATTTGGAGAGCTTCAAATAGATTTGGTCCTTTTTATTGGTCTCCTGATTCAACTTGAATTCGGAGATTTGACTGCCGAATCAGGTTGAATCTCCTTCTAATCGAATCAGCACCTGAAGCTTCGCACAGCTCTAGCCTCCAGGTACACCCCAGTGTTTTCCACTGTGTTTTGAGATAGGCAAAAAAGCACTTCACAGTCATCCAGCAGCTTCTGAGCAAGTAGTTGAAGAATGCCTTCAATAGTTCCAAGTGTCAGTCATTCTGAGCCATTGCAGCCGTGGACAAGCGGGTCCCCTCTGTGGTTATCTAGCAGCAATGATCACCCTCTCTAGCATGATGCCAGGAGTTCTGTAGGCAAATCACACCCACATCATCAAGGGCACCAGGTCACAATTCCAGAATATCTTGATCTCATGCACCTTGCCCAACCACTTGGTACTCACATGGGTGAACCATCCCTGGATGCCCTGCAGCAAGTTGAAGAGAAGTAACTTTAACCTGCCCTGTCCTCATGTACACTATGTGAAGTAATCCTCCTCTGTTTGTCCCTGGATTGGGACAATCCAGCTACTCCACTGATTTTCACTCTGCTACTATTTGGGTCAACTTGGTCACCTAGGTGACTGGGCTATAAAAATTCCTGAGGGGAGGGGGAGTGCTCTCTCTGCTTCCACCAGCATTTTGGAACACAGAAGCCACGAGCCTCCAGAAAATCTCTGGGTGAATCTTTAACTAGGCACATGAAAACCAGCTAGTAGAATAGGACTAAGTAATTCAGTCACCAATTAAAAGGGTCCCTTTGCCCATCATTGTAAGATTCAAATTATTTTGCTTTTCTAAAAATGTTCTTCATTCCTTTGTCTACCCCCCACCCCCACCCCAACTCTCACTCTCACCGATCAGAAAATGTATTGGGTTACAGCATGCCTGGCTGTGAATTTCTTAGGGGAGAGACAGGGTTTTTTGTCTTTTTGCTCAGCTGGCTAAGGTGTGCTTGGCTCTTTACTTTCCTCCATTACAGGAGGCTATCTTTGGATGGTTCAGGTGGAAAGAAGCACCCCAAAATATTACTGTGGGGAAAGCACCCCGAATACTTGCAAGATCTGTGTACCCCGGGCTGCCAGAGCCCAAACAGAGACCAGTGCCCAGGTGGGGGCAGCGTTACCACAAGCCTGTGGGTGTTCTCTAGGAATGGGGACAGCCGGATGTGGGCTCCCCAGGGGAGATGCCAGAAGCGTGGTTTGGGGCCTGGCACAGTGAGGCGGGTGGCTCTCTGCCACACACTATGGGGAGCCTCAAAAAATAATGGGCCTACTCTTATAAAACAAGATCATACTAGCCTTAAAACACTGTCACTCAGGATGAAACCAATCACCATATTTGGGGTCAGGAAGGAATTTTACCCCATGGTCAGATTGGTATGGACAATGCAGGGTGGGGTTGCCTTCCTATGAAACAGGGGATGTGGTCCTCTAGAGCACAGATTAACAACCTTTTATAAAAGTAGGGTATAGGCTGAAGTGGTTCCCCTTCTGTGTGTGTGGCAGGTTAAGGTTTTATGTCTTGTGTTTTGCAGGGTTGACAGTAGTTTTATGAAGAGTTAAGATTTTAGATGCATTTAGGATGGTTTGTATAGGGATGATCCTGCCTCAGGCAGGGGTTTGGACTAGGTGACCTCTAGAGGTCCCCCTCCAGGACTGCTTCTCTCTCTGATTCTATGATTCTAGGTAGTGGTGACTGCAGCTGTATAGTGGTTTTGTGGGCCAGGAGAATCAAAAGCTTGGGGGAGGCCTGCTATATATCATTCTCTCTCACAAAATGTTACTGGCAAATTCTTCTGCGGGTCCCAGTATCACAAGTATTTGGATGCTTAACTCCAGTTCTTGACACTTGGGAACAGTTTGGCATACTATTTTCCTTGTGGTCAAAGAGAATCACCCTGCAGTTGTATCTGCTAGAAATACACTGGCAGAGGAACGTCGCATCTTGAAGCCCAATAACCCAGTGCTTAGGACACTTGCATAGAAGTAGGAAACCCAGTTCCAAGGACACCATTACCCAGAGGGCTTTTGAACCTGTTCCTCCTACATTTAAATGTTCAAACTACTAGACCAATGGTTAAGCATTGCTCTCAGACACCACCTAGAAGCTTGTGAACTCCCACTGTAAATGCTATTGCTTTTAGTGATCATTGATTCTTTAGGGAGATCAACTGATGAGAAGTCAATGCTTCTATAGATACCAGATGCTCATGAGGATGTTAAGAGAAATTCAATGCACCATACGCTACACATGCTGAGATTTTAAACGTCATTGCTCAACTCTTAAACCTTTTCCTCTGGCACTTCTGAAATTTATCTTAAAGAGAACACAAGACTTTTCTTTAACCTCTCAGATTTATTAATTATCGCACTGTTTCTTGCTGTCAACAATCTTTCTGCTGATCTCGTTATTTAAAGTGTATCTGTGGAAGACAGAAAATACTTCAGCAAAATCTCTACTCTTTAAAAATGCGAGAAAGGGTAAGTGCTGACTTTATACCATTTGGTTAAAGTGCTTTTGGTGGGTGGCGAGGGGCTCTTATTTGTAAGATGAATCCAGACAAATATTAATGAAAGACAGATCCCTTTCAACTTAAGGGAAAATTTCTGATCATGTCTATATAGAAACTTAGGACTAGCAATGGTATTTATTTTCTGTGCCACTAATATACTATATGTCTTCTAACAAATAATTTTACCTCTCAGTGTCCCTGTGTTGTCAGTTTTAATGTGGGGAGTCTTTCAATCTTTCTCTCTCTCTCTCTCCTGTTTCTAAATGCTTGATATTTTCATAGGCAGACAAGTTTCCTTGGGTGAATTTGATCTCTTTTATTAGACCAACCCATGAGATTTTCATGTATCCTGTGGTTATTTTAATCCTAATATTCTGTTGTTGCCTTCCCTATGTCCATAACACAGAGCGGACATTATATAGCAATGGAAACAGGGAACAGGACAATGGCTACTTATTTCATCATCCTGGGCTTTCCCAGTCTTCAGAAACTGCATCTTTTGTTATTCTTTGTTGTCCTGACCATCTATCTCCTGACCCTGGCGGGACATACTCTCATCATCTTACTAGTACGTGTAGACTCACGCCTCCACACTCCCATGTACTTCTACCTCAGCAATTTCTCCTTCCTGGAAATCTGGTACACCTCCAATATCATCCCCAAGATGCTGAAAGTCTTCCTGGGAAATGACAAGTCTATCACCTACACAGGATGCATTACACAGCTGTACTTCTTCATGTCCTTGACCTCCAATATCATCCCCAAGATGCTGAAAGTCTTCCTGGGAAATGACAAGTCTATCACATATACCGGATGCATCACCCAGCTGTACTTCTTCATGTCCTTGGCAACTGCCGAGTGCTTTATCTTGGCTATCATGGCATGTGATCGCTATTTAGCCATCTGCCACCCTCTGCAGTACTCAACACTCATGAACAATAGGGTTTGCCTTCAATTGTCTCTGTGCTCTTGGGTAGGTGCCTTTCTGGTCATTATTCCACCTCTGATCTCATTGTGTAAGCTGTCTTTCTGTGGGCCCAATGAGATTAACCACTTCTTCTGTGATGTGTCACCTTTATTGAAACTCTCCTGTGTGGACCCACATGAGGCTGAAACTGTTGACTTTGTTGTGGCCACTGGTGTCCTTGTGAGCTCCATTGTCCCAGTCGTGGTTTCCTATGCCCTTATCATTGTCACCATTCTGAAGATGCCCTCAGCCACAGGGCGCCAGAAAGCCTTCTCTACTTGTGGCTCCCACCTGGTTGTGGTGTCTGTCTTCTTTGGTACCCTGACATTCATGTATGCGCGCCCAGCCTCCCTTGACTCTGTTGACTTTAACAAGGTGTTGTCTATCTTCATTGTTCTATCTGTCTGTTCTTTTATGAACAGACAGATAGAGAACTGTTGATCATAGAGTTCTTTAGAGAACTGTCTGCTCTTTTATGCCTGGCTCTATCTTTGTTATCCGGCACCCTCCATTCCCTGTGGGTGGAATGGATAACAAAGCTTTTACTGTATTTGCCTCTATTTTCTTCTGGCTTTCTCCAGTGTAGATGTACATGCTTACTTTGCAGTAAACTATATTAATTCAAAAGTAAGCATCTCGTGTAGACGTGCTCACTGAGTTGCATAAAGATATAAGAAAGCATCATCTAAGCAAAAGGAACTAGCCAACCAGCTTTCTAAATTCAACTCAGCATCTATCTGCATCTGTCGGTGCCTAAGAACCTGTCAGACTGTCCCACACATTACACAGAACTAGAAGCAGGGAACCCTGGGTGAATCTTTTGCCCTGTCCCTTACAGGACGGCAAACTACAGATCCACAATTGTCCCCTTCACTTTAAAAACTATTAATTCAAGTGTGTTTACTTCTGGGCCTATGCTTGAGCTATGCAGAGCTCTAGGGAAGGAGTCCCACAAGCCCTTGGAAGAGGGACACAGATAACTCACCTTACTGCAGCTTCTGCTTTCTCATACCAGGGAGGCTCAGACGCAGCTACAGCCAGCCCGTTCATCTGCAGACAGGAAGAGGCTTGAATCAACTCATTGGTGTCTTTGTCATCTAAAAACTACAGTGGCAGAGGCAAGAGAGATTAGCTAGACTGAGAGTCGGGAACAAACAAAGAGTCCTGGCACCTGAGGATCAAATGCAGCAGAAGCTCATAGAAAAACCCACATAGGACAGAACAGTAGATTGCTTCAAGTCTGAATATATAGAATAGGAAGCTAAAGACTGAGAGGGAGTCTGTTAGTCATGATCACATTCGTTCTCTGGTACTCCTTTTGAAGCTGACAGATGTCAGAGCAAGATAGATGGGAGATGTGTGGGGCCAGAAGGTAGAAAAGAGGCCTGGGTTGTGTGGCCTGGGTTGTGTGGCTCTGTGAACTAGCTTACGGATAGTATGTGCATATGTGATGGCTGCTAGTGCATGTAATTAATTTAATGGGACTATGTAGTTGCACAGAGTCATCCATGTGCCTAAGGCTATGTATCCAGGAACAGAATTCCCCTGGGTATGTAAGTGCCAAAAAGGTTGCATTTTATTTTGTTTCATTTCAATTATTTTAATTGCTTTTCTTTTCTCTTCTCCCCAGCCCCTCCCATCCCTTCTCCTGCTGCCTTCCTCCTGAATCACATTGATAATGGATACAGGGGAGAGTTTGGTTAGGGATGTTGGTGCTCCCCCTTATACTTAGAAACCTCCTTGGCATCTGGCTGGTGGATCTTTCCCTGGGTCAAACCAGTCTCTCCACAGTTGGTCCAGAGTAATTTCTTAAGATCACATTCACAAGGAGCACTGAGATATTTGTCCTCCTCTGTGGTGCCAGGTATTGTCCCAGTCCTCGGAACAGCTGAACATATTTTACCCTAGCAAATTAGCAAATACTGCAGTGACCAAGGAGTTGATGGGACCCTTGTCTCCCCTACTTTATATATTGTGACTGTCATGAGAGTGGGTATTTTTCTCTTTAATTTTAATTTTAATTTAATTTAGAGTGATGTGTGATATGTTACAACCTCCTCTGTTTCTCCTGATGGTCAAGGAATCGAGAAGAGAGGGATTGCTGAAAATGGCCAGCTACAGTTAACAACTTCATAGAACAATTCAATCATAGATTGAAGCATATAAACATTAAATAAGTAGGCTACAGATGACAGGAAGTTAAATAATTGAATTTACCACTGACTGATAGGTCTACAGTGGGTACAAGCAAGTTTGTCATTTAGTCCATTGGTTCCAATGAATCCCAAAACAACTCTGAACTCCTCATTTCTTCTCAATCTAGCATACATTTAT